TTTTTCTTTGTATTTTTCCTTATTCAGTGACTTAGAACAAGTATGCAGATCAGTAATGAAAGCAGGCAGTCGTAATGCTTACAATTGTAAAAGAAAGTGAGGTATGACAGTTATGTTTATTTTCCTGGTGTTACGTTTAACAATTTAGGTAATTTACAGTCACATAATGAATATATATATATATATATATATATATATATATATATATATATATATATATATATATATGGCAGCACAGTGGCTAAATGGTTAGCACATTCCCCTGGCAGTACTAGGGTCGTTGGTTCAAATCTCGAGCACGGCACCACCTGCCTGGAGTTTGTATGTTCTCCCTGTGCCTGCGTGGGTTTCCTCTAGGTACTCCAGTTTCCTCCCACTCTCCAAAGACATGCTGGTAGGTTAATTGGCTCCTGTCTAAATTGGCCCTAGTATGTCTATGTATGAATGTGAGTTAGGGACCTTAGATTGTACACCCCTTGAGGGTTAGGGACTTATATGAATGTACAATATATATGTAAAGTGCTGCGTAAATTGACGGCGTTATATAAGTACCTGAAATAAATATATATATATTGTTTGTGTATACTATGCTTCCACTATTTGTAGTGTACTTTTATACTGCAGCAGTAACTTGATGCTCACTAAACCTTCATTTCTCATCCCTCCAGGTCACAAAGTTGCCTGTTCAGGTAGTCGCAGAGTGTGTCTATTTACCTTTCTTCTTTTTTTACTGTTTCTAAAGAAAATAAATAGTGTGGTGTTATTATGGGCCATCAAGTGAGGCCAGAGCTCCACCCAGGTCTATTTTCATGCTCTGTAGCCAGTTTGCGCCGGATTACCTGGAATGGCTGCAGAACAGGCGGGGAGCTCGTTATAATGGAGAGAATGTGCTGGTACCAGTACATCGGAGAGAACCTTCCACCTATCAATCAAGTGTCATTCATGTGTGCATGTTGCTGGTACCAGCGCATTCTCTGCTCTCTATACACACCCTGCATGAACTTTCCTCTTGTTGGGGTGCATTAAAGTCCATAGAGAGTGCAGACCCAACTGGCATTGAACCCCTCCAGGTATCGGTCTGCACATGTAATACATATTTTAAAGGGATATTAAACCTGGGGCTTGGGTAAGTATAAGGGGGGAGGGGGCTGGGGGGCGCTCCTGGACACAAAGGTTTTTTACCTTAATGCAGAGAATACGTTAAGGTAAAAAAAAACAAAAAACGTTAGAACCACTTTAATCATAACATATATATTGTCATAAAGAAAAAAATTTAAAAAAATTAAAAATCACGAACTAATGATAGAAACCACAGCCGGACATTTATGGTCGGTAGATTAGCTGGTAGTGTAGAACAGGAGTGCATTCTTAGGAATATGGATTAGCTCAGCAAATATGCCATGGCATCCTCTCCTGTGTTCTACCATGACTAAGCAATATAAACATCTAAATACACGGATGAAATCATGTATCTATTGGCTGAACCAGACAGATCTGTGTCTTTTTTCCACCTAACTGTATAACTATGTATGGGACGTGTTTAATCCACTGAAGAATATGTATTTCTGTCTATCCAGTCCTGAGATTTATACAGCTATGCCTCACAGTTCAGTCCTGTGTGGCTGGGCAGGAGACCTCATATTTCAGTAACTCTTACAGGTCTTGTTCCTCCCCCAGCCAGGGTCTGGCCAGTAAAATGAGAAGCCGCAGACCGATGAGCTGATCTTTCTGTCACCCATTTTTTCCCCATTTTTTTTCTCCTGTCAGGATGTTTATTTTTAGCACACGAGCACTAAAGCACAACTGATTGGCTCCGTGTGCTGCTTCACCCTCTCCCAGCTGAGCTCTGCTGTAGAGAAACTGTAAATGGCTACTAAGACCATTTAAAGCCGTATTAAACCCAAAAGCAAACATTTATTATATTGCAGCTTACCAATTCTTAGATGTGATGGCTGCATTAGTTTTCTTTTTTAGGCCTTCTTTCTTCATTTACCTGGTGATCCTGACACTGAATCTGTTCTTTTCTCAATAGAACAAGCTATTTTGCAGATGTAGAAGGTTGGGACAGTAATTTAACACTGACAATGGTGCTTACAGTACAATACACAATTTTTATTTATGAAAAAACTTCATCCCAAAAGGAAAAAAAACTGCTGTAACTGCTTATAAACAGTTGGAGTTTGGTTTATTAGTGTATCTAAATCTGCTAGTATAGCTAACACCTCCTCCCCCCAGATTGGCAGTGCTGTTTTCCAAAGGTGCCCCTGTGCTCCTTCATCCAGAGTGGGGACACGCTAATACAGGAAGTGTGTTACTGGCCAGATCACCAGATGAAAACAGAGGGAAAAAGTCACCACATCGAATGATTGGTAAGTTGCAATATATTACATTTTTGGTTTTGGGTTTAATACCACTTTAAGGTACATACAATGCTTGCATTTTGAAAAAATACTTTTAACAATGTGGTAGTGAATGCAACGCCACAATAATGTGTTTTTTATATCGGTTTTCAATGCTGTTTCCTCCAGAGCTCTGTAATGTCATCAAAGGACACGGCCAAACTCAGCATATAGTTATGGGGTGGACCCGCGACCAGGCTTGCCTCTGTTATTGATGACTTTGATCAACAATGTGGCTTTGGCTTTTGGGGCTTGTGGTTCAGGATATATAAGAGGGGAGAATAGGGTCATTTGTGACCATCTTAATAATCATCAATACCATAATCATTTTCCCCTTTTATACTATTTAATATTTTTTCCATGTTTCCCTATTCTGAGCACCACAAACCAAAAACACTATCTAATTCATTTTTATTATTCAAAGTAAACTCCCCATCCATCCATCTATCCATGTCTCCAGCTTTGGGAAACACCCCCTGGCATTTCTGGCCGTGGCCATCTTGAGTAAGGGCAAATGAGTCATGTAGCATTTATTTTCTGGAATCCATCTGCATTAGCTCAGGCATGCAGGCAGAAGGGTGTGCTTAGCTGAGAAATCCCCTCCTGAAAACTCCTGGGATGGATGACATCATTTGCCTAGGCATAGAAACCAGGAAGTAACTGACAAAATGTGAAAAAAAAGTTTAAAACAAGTAAATATAATGTATCTTTTTATCTATTAATATTAGCATCCAAACTCCTCGAGCGCCTAGTATACACCCGCCTAAGCTCTCACCTCAACAACAACAACCTCCTCGATCCCCTACAGTCCGGCTTCCGTCCCCTACACTACACCGAAACTGCCTTACTCAAACTCTCCAACGACCTGCTAACCGCCAAAGCTAATGGCCACTATTCAGTGCTCCTACTCCTTGACCTCTCTGCGGCCTTCGACACAGTCGACCACCCCCTCCTCCTCAAAAAACTACACTCCCTTGGCCTCAGAGATTCTGCTCTCTCCTGGCTCTCATCCTACCTGTCACAACGCTCTTTCAGCATTACCTATAATGCTACCACCTCCCTCTCACTCCCCCTCTCTGTTGGGGTCCCTCAAGGCTCCGTCCTCGGGCCCCTTCTCTTCTCCATCTACACCTCCTCCCTTGGCCAACTCATATCATACACTCTCACGTCTTCAACTACCACCTATATGCCAACGACACACAAATCTATCAACTCCCCACCTCAGTCTCCGTCCGTATCGCACACCTACTGAGCGACATATCAGACTGGATGTCGCTCCACTTCCTTAAACTGAACCTCTCCAAAACCGAGTTTCTTGTCTTCCCTCCAGCCCGGACACCACCCCCCATTGACTTCTCCATCACATCCAACAACGCCACCATCAAACCTGCCCCACAGGCCAGAGTACTTGGGGCTGGAAGGATAGGTTGGAGTCCAGAATGACACCAAGTCCAATCTTTAACAAGCTCGTGCAGACTCCACCTTTGCAACATCGCCAAAATACGCACGTTCCTAACCCCAGAAACCACTAAACAGCTCATCCACTCCCTCATCATATCACAACTCGATTACTGCAACTCCCTCCTTACTGGCCTGCCTCGCCGCTGGCTATCCCCGCTTCAGTCGATCCTGAATACGGCTGCCAGACTCAGATTCATCTTTCCAACAGCTCTGTCTCCGCCACCCCCCTCTGCCAATCCCTCCACTGGCTTCCGATTGCGCAACGGATCAAATTCAAAATCCTAACACTGACGTACAAAGCTGTCCACCATACTGCCCCGAACTACATCACTGACCTAATATCCAAGTACCGCCCAGCACGCACACTCCGCTCCTCACAAGACCTCCTTCTCTCTAGTTCCCTGGTCTCCTCCTCCCATGCCCGCCTCCAGGACTTCTCCAGGGTGTCACCCATCCTCTGGAACTCCCTGCCCCAACCCATCAGATTATCACCTACTCTCCTCTCCTTTAGGCGCACCCTGAAAACCCATCTCTTCAGGGAAGCCTACCCCACCCCCTGCTAACTTGCCAACCTCCTCCACTCTTCCTACCACCCCATCCCCCACAGCTATCTCCTCCTGTGCCACCATCCCCTCCCTCCTAGATTGTAAGCTCGAAAGAGCAGGGCCCTCGATCCCCTCATGTTTTGCATTGTATTGGTATTGTTCTGTCACATGTTCTGTCCCCTTCTGTAATGTACAGCGCTGAGTGAACTATTGGCGCTTTATAAATACTGTATAATAATAATAATAAGGATTAAAAATGGTCCATGTTGATTGAGAGAGTGAAGTTTCGCTTTTTAATTATGTTGTTTCCTATATTAAAAGCCAGCAGGTGACAAGTGATGAGTGTTAGTATAGTATATTGTTAGATGGTACAATTCAGATGTCAGCCAGTTCCTGGAGGTGCAGTGAAGAAGTATTCATCCTGGGTAAAATAAATGGGACATGACGCTCCAGGTGATGTAGAACATGACAGACCAGCTTGGATGCCTCTAGCTATAGATCTCTTATCACATATAGGCTGTGGTCAGTGATGGATGTATTCCAGCCTTTTATTGCACTGAGTTCAGAATTAACATGGAATGAATGTGAACTGCTGGCCAGATCCTATTTCAAGATAGGCCAGGATCAAGGGGGGTGCTGGGATGTAAAGGGACAAAGGATGTAAGGGGACACTCTGATGGGAGCATTTGATGTAAGCAGGATTTTGATGGGGACATTTGATGTAAGGGGGCACTCTGATGAGGACATTTGATGTAAGCAGGATTTTGATGGGAACAGTTAATGTAAGGGGGCACTCTGACGAGGACAGTTGATGTAAGGGAGCACTCTGATGGGGGCATTTGATGTAAGCAGGATTTTGATGGGGACATTTGATGTAACGGGGCACTTTGATGAGGACAGTTGATGTAAGGGGGCACTCTGATGAGGACAGTTAATGTAAGGGGGCACTCTGATGAGGACAGTTAATGTAAGGGGGCACTCTGATGAGGGCAGTTGATGTAAGGGAGCACTCTGATGGGGGCATTTGATGTAAGCAGGATTTTGATGGGGACATTTGATGTAACGGGGCACTTTGATGAGGACAGTTGATGTAAGGGGGCACTCTGATGAGGACAGTTAATGTAAGGGGGCACTCTGATGAGGACAGTTAATGTAAGGGGGCACTCTGATGAGGGCAGTTGATGTAAGGAGGCACTCTGATAAGGACCCTGATGTAAGGGGTCACTCTGATGAGGACACCTGATGTAAGGGGGCACTCTGATGAGGACACCTGATGTAAGGGGGCACTCTGATGAGGACACCTGATGTAAGGGGGCACTCTGATGAGGACACCTGATGTAAGGGGGCACTCTGATGAGGACACCTGATGTAAGGGGGCACTCTGATGAGGACACCTGATGTAAGGGGGCACTCTGATAGGGACACCTGATACAAGAGGGCATCTGATGACAGCCTAATACATGCTGGCGTTCCCTGTTTGCTCCTGCACCACCACTGCACTACCTGTCAGATGTTACTTCTGGGTTGTGATTGGTGGTACAGAAGAGTGCTGAGTGAACAGGGAATACTGGTTCCATGCATCTCTGTCACACTATTGGCATTATGCCTCTGATTTATTTTACTGCACCCCCAGATCAGTTCCTAAATGTTTCTAGTCTTTGCACAGGGATTTTGGAGACCTGGGGACTGTAGTAAACAACAGTGGTCTGTGTGTATCTCCCTGTACCGTACTTTTGTATGAACCATATTTACGCTATAAGCCAGGCATTCTCAACCAGGGTTCCTCCAGAGGTTGCTCTGGGTTCCTTGAGCTGTGGCTAGTCGACCACCTATCTGATGGTGCCTTCCTATTTCCAGGTGCATTGCCACTTGGCAGAGCCAGTAGCATGAGACCAATTTTGTATTGGGTCGTTCCATTTACTGACCACCAATGTAATGGGCATTTTCCTTTTTACCCCTGAAGGACAAATCTTAGCAGGGGTTCCTGGACACCTGAAAGTTTTTACAAAGGTTCCTCTGGGGTAAGAAGGTTGAGAAAGGCTGCTATAAGCAATGAGTGTATTTGGACATTGCCTTTTAGATTGTAAGCTCTGATAAGCAGGACTCTCTGATACTTTCTTGTTTTGAACTGAATTGTGTTGTAACAATACAGTCTGCCTTTATTTTGTAAAGTGATGCACAAACTGTTGGCACTATGTAAATCCTGTATAATAATAGTAACTATAATTGCCTTCAGAGTGTTTAATGCATTCATAGGCAGTATATGGGCACTGTACTACTATAGGTGGCTAGTGTATGCAAAGTGGGATGTCCACTGGGGGGCAGTAACATATCATGGAGACAGAAGTTGTCCGGTTGCTGGTACCAGCGCATTCTCCACTTCTATTGTTAAAGGTGGATTTCCCCCTACAAACCGGTATGATGGGAAGAAAATGATAAAATCAACTATTTATATTGCTGCTTAGCAACACTGTTTATATTATATAATGAATGCCCACCAACTAGGGACACACGATCACAGGGTATGATTATCTTATTATACAGGATTCATATAGCGCCTACAGTTTGAGTAGCGTTTTGAGAAATAAAGGAAGACAGTACGCTCACCGGCCACTTTATTAGGTACACGTGTTCAATTGCTTGGTAAACACAGATTGCTAATCAGCCAATCACATGGCAGCAACTCAATGCATTTAGGCATCTAGACGTGGTGAAGATGACTTTGCTGAAGTTCAAACTGAGCATCAGAATGGGGAAGAAAGGGGATTTAAGTAGCTTTGAATCTGGCATGGATGTTGGTGCCAGACAGGCTGGTCTGAGTATTTCAAAAACGTCTGATCTACTGCAATTTGTGTGGAGGAAAATACCTTGTTGATATCAGAGGAGAATGGGCAGACAGGTCACTGTGCCATTCAGATGGTAGGGTCAGAATCAGGGGAGGACTGACAACTCCCCTGTGTCCTTGCCCAAACTCAAAAAAGCCTATGAAAAAGGTACCAGGGGCATCTCATGGGGCCCCCTACTGACCCTGGGCCCTCGGGCAATGCCCGAGTTTCCAAAGGGTCATTCCGCCCCTGCTCAGAATTTGGCGTAAACAACATGAAAGCATGAATCCATCCTCCTTGTATCAACGGTTCAGGCTGGTGTGTGTAATGGTGTAATGGTGTGGAGGAGATTTTCTTGGCACTAGCAAGGTGGACACAATAAAGTGGCCGATGAGTGTGTATATACAATACAATCAAAGATAAATCATAACCACCAGATTAAGGGCCCGTCATACCAGAGCGCGTGGTGGGTAACTTGTGTTCTGGGCACGTTTCCCACACCACACTACCCTTGTGATCTGCAGCAGATGTCAATGAAATGCACCCCTCCCCAAATGCAGTTCCCAAATACATTGTGTGCCTGCAGTGGATCCCATGCCACAGAACTACCATGCGATCCGATTGCAATGCATTTTTCAAAGATGATCTGGCCAATAACACACCTTCTGTCTTAAGCTGGGTACACACTATAAGAAAATCGGGTGAACGATCATCCACTTTTCCGTGACGTTTCACAAGTCAAACCCAAGGACAGTACTAATTGCATGAAAATTCTCAAACGACAAAGACTTTTTCTTTTCTGTTTGATGTAGGAACATTGTATTATTGTTTATTGTTTCAGATCATGTGAAGTCTTTCGTATCTGATTTGTTTTTGTACGAACACCGTACACATTAAATGAAAATCGTTGGTTCTGTTCATATATGAGAAACATTTTGGGAGTATGTCCCTTTGGACATTTTCATTTGGAAAGTCTGAATCGGAAGTTGCAAGTTGTGTACACACTGTACGAAAATCGAACGGTCGTTCCTCGTATGGAATTTTTCTTTTGATTTTCTCGTAGTGCGTACCCCAATTCACGGCAATTCCCTTATCTATTGAAGAGCAAGGGAATCACCCTCGGACAGCAGCATTGTAAGGAGAGGCTAGTATTAGATGGATGAGCAGGTTTAACAGGACTTGACTAACAAAGCAAAGCTGAACTCCAGACAACACTTTTTAAGGAGGTAGAGATACAGTAAATATTGGATAAAGGTTTTACATAAATGAATGCAAATTGACCTATGTAAGAACTCCTGTTAGACGGTTGAGACAAACCATTTACTACTACTAACTGCCACTTTTGCTGCACAGCCTGGTCTGTTAAAGGAAGTTGAAGAACAACAGCAATACTGCTTTGTTAATGCTAGTAAGAGACGTCATCATACTGTATGTGTCATTTTTTTTAATTTGCATTCATATCTGTTACCTTAGCCTCTCAATGCTGGACCAGAACTGACCATTCACTAGTTATACACAACCAACATGATTCTATAATTTATGTGCTGTACGTTCACACAGAATACATGTTTCTGTGTTTATAATTCCAGAAGACTTCCTCTAAAATGTTTAACTGTGAACCCTGGGGCCGGGGTGGACTGACAACTCATGGGGCCCCCGGGCAATAGGGGATCATGAGGCCCCTGTGTCCTTGCCCACACTCAAAAAAGCCTATAAAAAAGGTATCAGGGGCATTTCATGGGGCCCCCTACTGAGTGCTCGAATGGTAAGTCCGCCCCTGCTCTGGTGTAAGCATACGAGGTGGTATTAAAAAGTTCTGAGTCTAGTTTTGTAACATGCCAACAGATGGCATCACAAGGCTGCATGTACAATCAGAGGTAGCACCAACGTTCATAGGTCAGTGTGCCAAAAGACATCATCCTGTGTACATCGGGAGCTGTGCAACTGGTGCTATTCTGACCACGTGCATTACCACGTCTGTTCTAACTTGCTGTCCATGATGAAATAGCAAAGAGCAAGCATGAAATTTTGCATGAAACCAGGCAAATTGCTGGACCTCGGCAATGTTGTCAAAATGGCGACCTTTGAGCTGGATCTCTATCTTCGGAAAGAGGGCGTTTTCGGGGGTTGAGCTTGTTGAAGGTCTTCCTGATCTCTCGTCTTCCAGTGATGTTCTTCCGCAACTGAAGTGTGCGTACCACTCAAGCCACCTCAAATGACTCATTGCAGCATTGCCGTAAACTTGTCAAATCATGTCAAGCATCTCTGTGGCAGATTTGCCCAGTTTCATGTAGAATTTCACGCCTTCTCTTTGCTATTTCATCATGGACAGCAAGTTAGAACAGACATGGTAAGGCATGTGGTCAGAATAGCACCAGTGGCGCAGCTCCCAATGTGTACAGGACAATATATTTTGGCACACTGACTTATGAATGTTGGTGCTCCCTGTGACTGTGCATGCAGCCTCATGCTGTCATCTGTTGACGTGTTACAAAACTAGTCTTGAATCTTTTTGATACCACCTCGTATATTGTCTGAAACCATTTGTCATGTGTATTCTTCCTCGAATCTTTGGTGAGCTTTGTGTATATCTTCCAGATCGGTGCAGGAATCGAGTGTGAGACTTCCTGTTATAAAGACCGCTCACTGCTGCTCTCTCTCCTAGTTCAGGGTGACTGGTCTTGTCCCCCCCCCCCCCCCCCCCCCCTCCTGTAGTTTTCTGCAGTGGGTGGGGCCTTCTCGGTCCCTCCCACAACTCTGCTCTCTGCACAGTCCATGTACAGCACAGTGATGATGCCTTTGTCACTTTTACATTTGGGTTACACAAAGTGGACTTATATAATTTGTAACTATTGAGTAATATATTGTAATGATGGCTTTTGTAGCTGGAATTCTGCTTTAAATTAAACACGCAACAAGTTTTGCTACATGATATAAACAATTACACTCAGTCATGTTGCTGGTACCAGCACATTCCCATTGCTGAACAGCCAGAGGTGAACATCCTGGGTGTGGACTAAGATCATTCTCACCTCTGTCATACAAACCTCACTAGCCTGTCAGGGAAATGAAAATGTTCAGTTAAAGGCCAAGCATTTTTCTGGGTTCTAACCCTCACCTCTGCCAAAAATTAAAGCATTGGTGTGACGACAAAAAGGCCATATCACTGCTTTATGAATGGACCAGCTAATGAGTTAGTGACTTTGAATACATACGTAGGTTAGGAATCTGCACTTCACTTGCTTGTTTTGGTCAGCAAATTGCCAAGAAGTTAGGCAAGGATAAAGGATGATGGCCCTAGACGCTTATATCTTAAAATAGAAAAAAAGGTTCCATAGGGACTACTTGGTACTTTCTAGGCCAAGATTGGTTAAATTTAGTACATATGGTATGTGATTTGTAGTTATTATAATATCTTTTACTATGAAGCAGAGGTACAATCTGATTTTCCAAAACTACTAAGGGAGTCCAGGAACCAAAGGGTACAGCTTCAATACCATGTTGGTGGTGCATGTCAGAAAGAGCAGAAGTGTGACCATTGATGATAACATATTAAACCTGAAGTAAAAG